GATGTAGGCCAGTTTGACACGAAAATAAAATTCCACTTGACATTGCTGCTTCAGTTATTGAGGCTTTCTGCTCTGGAAGGTTAATAATACTGTGGATTAAGTTCTGCCCTAATCATCTTGAGTTTTGGGATCCTGTATTTCTAGTATACATAATATCATTCTCATAATTAGTTTACTTAATGAAATCTTGATGTCTTTTACTACCCAGAAGGCATGGTTATCATTACAATATAGTTCTAATGTGTCTAACAAAAAATTCACTGTCATTTATAGTTAGTAATTTGTGTATATATACATACACAGTAGCTTTAAAAATTATAACTTTTCTTTTAGGCTTTAAAATTTAAATGTAGTTGATAATGGTTTGTATTATTAGCTCTGGGGCCCTTGCGAAAGGTTCAGATTACTATAATTGTTTTGCATATAAGCAGGGAATCTACTGCATTTTCTTTCTGCCTTATTCAGCTAATGAACTATTCTGATTTACTAGGGAGGAAATGGGAAATAAAATGGCAATTCAAGGGTGTATTTTTGGTGGGTAGGGCTGGATCTCACTCTAGTGCAATGGTGTCATAGCCCACAGCAACCTCAAACTACTCGTTCAAGGGATCCTCCTGCCTCCACCTCCAGAGTAGCTGGGACTACAGGTGCACACCACCATGCCTGGCTAATTTTTCTAGTTTTTGTAAAGATGGGGTCTCACTATGTTGCTCAGGCTGGTCTTGAACTTCTGGGCTTAAGTAATCCTCCTGCCTTGTCTTCCCAAAGTGCTAGGATTACAGGTATGAGCCATCAGGCCCAGCCAAAGGTGTATTTTCTACACCCCACTCCCCTTACCAACAACCTAAAAATGATTTGGGGAGCCAAGTATTTGAGAACTGTTTCTTTTAGAGATTTCTACCTAGAAAATTTTTCAATGTGTATGGGTTGGAATTCTAGGCGATTGTTCACTGCATCTTAAGTTTTCAAGGAAAGGTGGAATTTAGTTATAAGAGTGCTGATTTGGTTTTGAATATTTATGGGTTGTTAATACTTTGCCTTCAATTCTAAAACAAAATTCAAATTCAATTCTAAAACAAAAAGGTTTTATAATGTGTATTTTAATATAAAAATACATATTATAAGCAACATCAAATTGCCTGTAACAGTCTCTGTTCAGCTGTGGTGTATTGGAAAGAGCCAGCAATCAGAAATTGATATTCCTGAAGGATGATTACTCTGTGCCACTAATTCACTTAGTGATCTTAGACAAGTCATTGAAACTCCTTAGGCTTCAGATTCCTCTTCTGTAGCTGGGCATAATCATGTCTGCAATAACTCTAGAGCAGGCGTCTTCCAACTACAGCCCGTGGGCCACGTACGCTTGTTTTTGCCCATTTGTTTTTTTACTTCAAAATAAGATATGTGCAGTGTGCATAGGAATTTGTTTATAGTTTTTTTTAAAACTATAGTCTGGCCCTCCAACTGTCTGAGGGACAGTGAACTGGCCCCGTGTTTAAAAAGTTTGAGGACCCCTGCTCTAGAGTATCTGAATGATAGACAAATAAATTGATGTATGAAGCTATAAATGATAGGAACATATAACTTTTGTCAAGGTAAATCTGAAATTAATGTAGAACCACTCCATTTTAATCATATTCCACCTTTTTTCGGCTTTAGCAGACATTTTCACACATTATATTCTTCTAATGTGATAGAACTAGAACCAACTGATATCTGAACACCTGTTAGATACCTGACACTTCTGTCAAGATATGGTTAAATTATGCTGTGGTAACAAAGAACCTCAACATCTCAATGTTAAAACAACCAAGGTTTGTTTTTTGTTCACAGGGACTCTGCTCATTTTAGTCATTCAGAGACACAGGCCAATGGAGTAGCCACCATCTCAAGTGTTACTGTTCTCCTCCCCTATGCTAGAGGGTCAAAGACTATGTCATATCACACACTTGTCTTTAAATGTTCGACCTGGAAGTAATGCTTATCACATCTGCTTATATTTCATTAATCAATGCTAGTAATCTGGCCACACCTAATTTCAGATGGGCAAGAAAGTGCATTACAACCATGTGCACAGAGCCAAGATACTAGTGAGCAGCTATGATGATTACCACAGTACTATTTTATAATTTATAGGATTATTATGGAATTTTAAAGTAATTTCTGGCATATGGAACTTGTAATTTAAACTCAAAATGAAAAAATAGATAATTTTTATAAGCTACTAAGTAACTGTTAGTATCTAAATAAGATACTAGATTTTAATTTTTTTTTAATTGGAAGCTTGAAATATATCATAAACAATTATTTTAAATCCCTATTGATATTCTGGTGATTCTATAGTGATATGTTTTTTTATTAAATTGCATCCTTAAGGCTTCCCAGATGGCTCCGATACCGTAATTTGTACGTTTCCTTTTAACTTTTTTCCCATGGCATCATTAGTTACTGTGTAAAGATTGGCAAAGATTAAATCTGATATCTAAGGCTTTAAAATAATTTTCTAATGTTAGGATTACCAAGCCCAATTATACTAAATTGAATATATGCATGGCCTAATCCTATTTGAGTAGTTCAAGTCTTTATTGTATGACTGATTTGGGGGAATTTTAAGTTACACTGAGTAACTATAGAACCTCTTTGATGCCAGTGTTTGGGATTTAAGAACAATTCAAGTTTCGTGGTTTGTTGCCTTTGTTGAGTAAGTAAGTATATGGTTTGTTGCATGCAGGGAAGCCTGATTTGACCACAAGTAAAACTACCATGGAATAATAAGACTAGGCCTTAAATAATAAAGAAAATTCTTTTTTTTTTTTTCTTTTTTTGAGACAGAGTCTGGCTCTGTTGCCCCGTCTAGAAGTGCCATGGTGTCATCCTAGCTCACAGCAACCTCAAACTCCTGGGCTCAAGCAATCCTTCTGCCTCAGCTTCCTGAGTAGCTAGGACTACAGGCACATGCCACCATGCCCAGCTAATTTATATATATATATTTAGTTGTCCACATAATTTCTTTCTATTTTTAGTAGAGACGGGGTCTAGCTCTTGCTCAGGCTGGTCTCAAACTCCTGACCTCGAGTGATCCTCCCGCCTCTGCCTCCCAGAGTGCTAGGATTACCGGCGTGAGCCACCTCACCCAGCCAAGAAAATTCTTTAATGCAAACTGCAGATGTAGTTGAAGGTAAGCTTGAAGAATTTGGTCTTGAACTTGAAGGGAATGATTCCCGACAACTAAAAGATCTCCCCAAATAGTTACCAGTGTAAAATACTTTTACATTTGAAGCTGCCCTTTTTATTGTTTTGCTTTTCCATGCCACTTTCTTTTCCCCTTCACCTTATCTTATGACTTTCTACAGGTACCATGTAGTATACTGTAGAAAAGGACATTGAACTTGAAGTTAGAAAAGTTGAGTTTTACCACTTGTTGCATGTGACCTTGGACAAATCATTTAACTTCTCTTAGCCCTCTGTTTCCTCTCATGGGAAAAAAGCTGTTCCATCTACTTTTCCTATTTGCTCCTTCTCCCCATTTGTTGTGAGGATCAAGTTTGAGAAGATACCATTAGTAGTATAAATTCATGGTGTAAGTTTTTAGGATATACCACTAACTAAATTATATTTTTTAAAGTTTATGCTATATCTTTTTTTTTTTTCTTAAAATGAGTTGCAAGTCAGTAAATGCTATATCTTAAAGTTTATTTAAAATCAGAGCTTTGGAAATGTATTTCCTGGCAAAGAGTTAAGCTATTCTGAAAGAGAGTCGTTTACAAATAAATCCGATTCCATTAAATGGTACCCAAACTGAGATAATGCAAAGGTTTCTGTTAACATCCTCTAAAGGGCATGAACATAATTTAAAGCTCCCAGTTAGGAAAATTATTCTGCCTTTTATCTCTGATTTACACCTACTTTTAGTTGTTTCAGCTCTACTGAAAGGTCAAATAAAAACCTTTTCATTAAATATTTTTTATCTAAGATAAGTGAAAAAAGAGAAATTTTTAGATTTTGTTTAACTTTTATTTTTTAAAATACCTTGTACATGCAGGGAATTCTCCAGTTACAAAAATCAAGTAGGAAAATAAGACAGGTTGGGAGGGTGGTTAGGAGTCACTAGTTTATAACTTTGTGTGATTTTAGACTTTGGTTTTCTTCATGTATAAAATGAGATTGAACTAGGTGATCTATCATAGCTCTTACATTCTGATTTTTGTCCAAAGAGAGTCCCTAAAATCATATATAAGTAAGCCATATTTCAAATTACCAGTTAGGTTGACTTCATATCTTTCCATTTTTGCAAAGTTCATAATATCTTAAGATGTTTTTCACAATCTAAATATATTTTATCTTTTGAAGAATTCTTTATATGTTTTTAACTCCCTATAGAAAGTCAATTCATTTGTTTTAACATGTGTGTCAGGTGCTATGTAAAAACTACATGTATCATCTCATTTAATCCATTATTTCCACCAGACAGATAAAACAAACAGGTCTATGGAGGTATAAGCAACTTCTCCAAGGTCTTGAGCTAATATAGATCAAGACTTCAACAGTTTTGTCTCAGTAAGAAGTAGAACAAGCAGACAAAAATCAGCAAGAATTTAGTAGATTTGACCAACAACAATAATATAAGAAAATGACAGATGTATATCTGTACATGAACATGTACTATCACTAAATATTTTTGATGCTTGAAGTTGATACAAATCAATAAAAACAACTGAATCTTAGTTGTCTTTGCATCCTTAATATTGGTTAAAGTACCTGAAACAAAGTAGGTACATGTTGTTTATTTGATTGAACTGAATTGTTGTATTAGAAGCATGTCATTTTATTATTTATCATTCATTTTCCATATTGCATTCATTGAGCTTTTCTTCCCTCTTGCCTTTATTCCCAGCTTTTTATTTAAAAGAGCTAGTCAGGTTCAAATTGTTTTGAGCTTTTGTTTGAAGAACAGTAGATGGTACTTGATCGAAGGCATTAAATATCCATATGTAAGCTGATAATAAACAAAAATAAAATAATGAAGCTGTTTGAAGTACTGTTGAAGTAATCTCTAAAGTGAGACAGTTTTCCTAAGAAAATGTGGAGAATTTTGACCTTAGAGAAGCTACAGAGACACTTGAACCCTGGAAAGGAAAGCTAATATTTCTTTATTATACATTTAGGGGAATACATTGCACTCTTAAATGATGTATTACTTAAGATGTTGAATTAAATTATGTATTTAAGCAACACTTACTGGGACTTGGCTGATGTTCATCAGTCTTTGAAAATATTATACTAAAATTGAGTTGTTGTCAAGTGAAAAGTGCTCATTTTATGTAAAACCATTAAGTAATACTATCTCCCCCTCATCCATTCTAATATATTTTGAAACATGTAAAGTGTTATACTTTTAGGGGAAAATACTGTAGAATAGTGAAAAGAGTGTGGAATTAAGACAGCTTGGGTTTAAGATCTGACTTTATAGCTGGGAGATCTTGAACAATTGAATTAAGCTCTTTCCTGGCCTTCCTAAAGCACTATTATGATTAAATGAGAATGTATCTGGGAAAAAGCTCTGAAAACCAAGGAGTACTCTGTAAATTTCTACTATTTCCAAACTAAGTCCAGTCTCAAATATTAGCTGAGATTACTTAGGAAATACTCACTTGGGAAACGTGGGGAGTGGGGAATAGTTCTTAAAAAAAAAAAAAATCATAAAAACTACCCTTTACTGAGTACTTAACTGAATAACAGACAAAATAGTAAGCATTTTTAATACAGTATTTTGTTTAATTCATGCAAAAACTAAATGAGGGAAGTATCCATAATCGTAGTCCCTTACACGTGAAGGAGAGGTAAGGCTTAGTGACCTATTCAAGTTCACAAACCTCGTTAGTGTCCAAAGTTTCATGTTCCCAACTGTTACTCCACCAATCTTTCCTTTACGAAAGAACAGATATATAATAATGCAAAATATAATAGTATCTGATTGTCCCAAGTGCTTTTTTAGACTTTAGGAAAGGAAGAGATGAGGGGTTGATTAAAAATATATAAGCATTGAAAAAGACCTAGAGGTTGAATGATCTAAGGTCAAAACAAGTTCCCAGTTCTGTAGATGATCAGGGTTTTTTTCTTGATATTGTTTCCTTTGAACTGGAACGATTCGTATGTGATAGCTATAAGAGTTATACCTATGTTTGTATTATTCTTGAGTTCATAGAGCCTTTCACATGTACAATTTTATCTTTTCCAAATGGCCGCATTTGTTACTCAGATAACTCAGAGAAGAGGGAGTGTGGTAGGAGAATCCTTCAGATTATTTAAGGAAATACCTGAGCAGAAATAGAAGAGGAACAAGACATGTTTAGGAGATGATAAAGTCTGGGAGAAGGTAGGTTATATAGCCACTTAATGTGGGGAGGGGCAGGGAGAATTTAATATCAGGCCAAGGAGATTTATTTTTTTCTTGAAGGTAAAAAGAGCTACTCACGGAGTTTAACTTCCCTCTCCCCATTTTTATTAAAGAGTGTGTGTCATGATTTCCCAGTAGCATGCTTTCCCCTTCAAAATAAAACCTCTTAAGGTGGAAATTTTCGGAGAAAGGTCTTACCTGAAGGATTACCAAAAGTGAAAATACACACATTAATGCAGTTTGGTGTTTGTAAGAGTTTGTGCTTCCTTAAATCAACTCATATAATAATTAATATGTAGCTAATTTATGAAATGAATGGAAAATATACTGGATTTAATTTCTGGAAAACAAACTCCTCTTTGTAAAAAATCAGCAACACAAGTACTTGAAATAAATATGTCCATAACAATGGTCACAAAAAGCCCCTGCCTTGTATCCTGTCTTTCATTCCCAGCATTTTTCTACTGATTGTTGTGATAGCCTTTAACTCCCTTGCCTGACATTGAGGACTTCTGCCTCCCCATCCAGCCTTATCCCCTGCCATCTACTCTCCATTCACTGGAGGCACTCACAGTACTGAACAATTCTCTCTGGCTGTGCCCTCCCTTGCTCCTGATTCCCTGCTTTTGCACTTGTATTAATAGTTCCCTCTGCTCTCCTTCCCACCTGGCCAAACCACTTTCTTCAAGCCTCAGTTCAAATGCCTCTGATGCCTTTTATTTAGTATAAGCAATAAAGTAATCTCTTCTATGCTTCCACTGCTCTTTGTATGCCTGTTTTTGTTAAACCAGTTATCATGTATCAGCATTGCTCTACTGTTTCCCCTCTAGACTGAGCTCCTTGAGAGCAGAAATGTTGATAGATCCTTTATACTTACTACCTGGAAGTAGCACCTACACCCTTGTAGGGAATTTAACATTTGAATGGGTAAGTTCAGCCATTAGGCTGAAATGAACTTTATCTCACAATTGGTGAAATGCTCTGGGGCCCCTAGAAGTGATTTAGCTGGGAGCACCTAGTCAAAGCCCTTAGGACAAGTGGAGGCCAGCTTTTACTTGTGCATCACCTACCAACCACTCACTTCCCAACATAAATACAATCACCTAGTAAGAGTTGTCGACAACACCTGGCTTATATATTTCTTTTCTTCCTGTTTGATTTTTAAACTATACCTTTACCCTATTTCAATGCCTATGATTCCCCAAACCTTTCCTGACCCTATCATATCTATCCACTACCCTGGCCATTGGGTTACTATTTCTGGATTGGAATTTAAAAGCTAGGTACTTGGAAGAAAAGGAAAATAATTGGAGGAAAGGAAAAAAGTAATGTGGTAGGCAGAATAATCCTCTCCACCCAAAGATGCCCATACCTTAATACTCCAGGAATTGTGACTATGTTACCTCATTTGGCAAAAGGGACTTTGTAGATGTTTTATGCAGATGTGATGAGTGTGGACCTTGCTATGAGGCAGTTGTCTGACATCATCCGGAGTGGGCCCACTGTAATCACATGAGTCCCTAAAAGCAGAAAGCATATCCCACCTGAGTCTGAGATTTGAAACATGAAGGAGGAAGATGAAGGAAGGGAGTCATAAGCCAAGAAATGTAGGTGGCCTCTGGAAGCTAGGAATGGCCCTCAGCTGAGAGCTGCAAGGAAACTACATCCTAACATTACAAGCAACTGAATTCTGCCAGCAACCTGAATGTACAAGGAAATAGATCCCTTGAGCTTCCAGAAAGGAGTAGTCTTGCCATCACCTTGATTTTAGCTGTGTCGAGACCCATGTCAGTCTTATGACTCACAGAACTATAAAATAATAAATATATGTAAAATAATAAATTTGTGTCATTGAAGTAGCTTGTTATGGCAGCATTAGAAAACTGAAGCAGGAAATAAGAAAATTAAAGGATAAAAAAAGATTCTGTACTTAAATTGAATAATTGAACTAATGACAATTCCGTATTTACTGTAACACCTTAATATAGTATTACATGTTGATACTGAATAAGAATGTAATACCTAATATTTTAGTCTCAGCTCTTTTAGGGCAGTGATTGTGGAGTCTTCAAGGACTTTGAGAACTCTGTAGTATCTATTGCTGCATAAGTCACCGCTAATTTAGTGGTTTAAAACAACACAAATGTATTGTCTGTTTCTGTAAGTCAGAAGTCCTGGCATGGTGTGCCTATTCAGAGTCTTACTTGGGCTTGAATCAAGGGATTGGCCAGGACCAAAGTTTTCATTGGGGCTCATGTCCTCACCCAAACTCACTTGTTACTGGCAGAATTTATTTCCTTGTTGAAGGAAGGAGACTTCCATTTTCTTTGTAGCTGTCAGCTCCTAAAGGCCACATTCAGGTCCTCATCATGGGGTCACCATAGGCAATTCACAGCTTGTTTCCTTTCTTCCAGGTTAGCCAGATAGAACACATCTCTCTGGTTTCTCTTCTGAGATCAGCTGGGAGAAAGACCTGCTTTTAAAGGACTCTTGATGAGGTTAGGCCCACTCAGATAGTCTGGATAATCTCCCTGTTTTTAAGATGAACTGATTTGAACTATAACTTTGCAAAATCCCTTCACATGGGCACCTAGGTTAGTGTTTAACTAAAAGAAAGTGTATGTACACCAGGGCCAGGAATGTTGGGAGGCCATCTTAGAATTCTGCCTTTTTAAGGATTTAGTGAATGGTGAAGTGAAAGTGAATGATGAACAGCTCCATGGACTTTTATTTTCTGCTTAACTGTAGACTACTGGTGACCTAAATGTTAACTCAGTTCTTTGTCTCATACTGTTTTATCTATTGGAAAGTGGGAACAAATGTTATAGATAGGCCATGTGGTCTTTTTGCTACCACCCAGGTGAACCATGGTTTAAAACAAAACAAAATAAAAAACTTGCAGAATCCTGCTGTGGGTATCCAAGATACGTTTCTAGTGGCTAGAATAAATGGCTTTTTAAAATTCAGTGTTATAAATATATCTACATTCTCTGGCCTCCAAAAGCTACTTTAGGTGACAACAGAGCAGAACTATAAGTATTAAACCATTTTCAACTATATAAGAAATTTCATCTGTAAACCTACGTCGTCTTAACAATTCCACACTCCTCCCGCTTCACTACACTGGTTCTCTTGTGGTAAGTATCATCATTTCACATGTTTTGTAGAACTAGAAAGTGGCCTTGAAGATGATCTACTCCAGTGGTTTTAAACTTTTCTGACTGTAACCCACAGCAGAAAGAACAACATTACATCCCATCGTACACATAGGAAATAGATCCCTTGAGCTTCCAGAAAGCTCAGACATGTGGAGCACTAAAACATTTGGAGCACATTGAGTTCTTTTTTATGCAACCTACTAAATTGATATTACAACCAATGGTTTGAAAAACACTGAAGATACCATTGTTTAAAACCTTTTCTTTCAGCTCCTCTCCCAGCAGCAGAGGACTTCCTGTTCCTATTTACTAAAGCTGGGAGAGGCTCTCTCTACCCTGAAGAAGCAAGGCACAGTCCTTTTGCTATACCAAGGAACGATAGTACCCGAGTTCTGGTTTCAGCTGTGGGGTTTTGAGCTGAAACACAGCCCCAGTACCAGTGGGGTAAGGTGGGAGACTTTATTTGGAAATTTACTTCCAAATCAAGATAAAATTATAGCTGTGAAAGTTGTTCGAGCTACCCTAGTTTTTGACATCTAAACTGTCTGGCCTCAGCTTCTGCCCATTGACTACCTTGAGTAGAGCTTGCCATGTTTTTATCTGCAGCTGTAAGAAAACAAGTGTTCTTACATTTTGGAACTATAAAACTTTATTCTACTTTGAGGTTATGAAATCATTTACCTTGCTGTTCATGTACAGGGATTACCCCTAATCTTCAGGGCACGCATTCCCAAGACCTTCAGTAGATGCCTGAAACGGGGTAGTACTGTATAAACATACTGCATTTTTTTCCCTATACATATTCATAATAAAGTTTATAAATAAGGCAGAATAAGAGATTAACCACAACTAATAATGGAAAAGTTATGTAACAGTGTACTGTAATAAGTTACGTGAATGTGGTCTCTTACTCTCCAAATATCTTTTTGTACTATGTTCACCTATTTTTGGACAGCAGTTGACTGTGGGTAACTCAAACATGGAAAGCAAAACTGGGGGGAGGGGACTATAATCTCAGTAGTACTAGCCAAAAGTCTAATGAATATGCCAAGACTAGTAAAATATATTTTTTCTTTATATCTGATTTGTTTTTCTAATCATACTTCCTAGAAAAAGGTGATGCATTTATAAGAAATTAAGATTATACTAAATCTACCTTTTACCGTGTCCCCCAGGTCAACCAATTTTATGAGTGCATAGTATTCCATTATATACTTGCACCAGACTCGCGCTAATCCAAACGAAACAAGTAATAAAATACAGAGGTCATTTGCACTTGTGCAAGTTTTTCTGCAGGATCCATTCTACAAGTGGGATTGGAGGGGCACCATGTATATGCAGTTGTAATTTGATAAATATTGCAAACCGCCCTCCAGAGCAGGTAGTTTATAATCTTACTAGCTAAATATGAGCTTTTAACTAGCATTGTTGTAAAGTTTTTTGATATACGACAATCTTTTAGGTGGAAAATTCAATTCCTGTGAAAATGGACATTTCCATCTTCAGAGCCATTTGTATATTCTGCAAACTGTTTCTTTTAAGTATTTTTCTGTTGGGCTTTTGGTGGTTTGTAGGTAAGGGGTGTGTGTGTGTGTGTGTGTGTGTGTAAAAAAAGGGGAATTAGCCATTTGTGAGATGGGTTATATTTTAGTTTTTTACTTTTTGGTGACTTTTGCCATGCAGCAATTAAAAAAATATACAGTCTAATTTATCAGTACTTTTGTGGCTTATGGGATCATAAATTCTTCTGTGATTTTTAAAAGCATCTTTGAATTTTCAAGTAGAAACCCATCTAAAAATATTTCAAAAGCTTTTTACCTTCATCACTCACAAAATTATAAAACTCTTTTCTGCTTTAGTTTGTGTCACCTTTTTAATACTTTTTAATACTTTAATACCTATTCATAATAGTCCCCAACTTTAGAATGTATTCATATTCTAGAAATCACATGTTGTTTGGAACTCAGAATATGTGTTTCTATAGAAACAGTGTTATGTTCGGTGAGGTTTCCCGTAGTCCTAATCTGAATTTAGAGTACTGTATTAAAACTGTCATAAAATTTAGAGGAGAGAAGAAATACTTCTATTTTTATTGTCAGTGGCTTAAAAGGGCGTGGCTTTGCTGTATTCTTATTATCTCTTTACCCTAATGGGTAAAACCTAATAAAGCACGTGGTCCAAGCTTAAAACATTTTCTCTATCCAGTGAGGCATGTATTAAACACCTATTATTAGTACCACCCATAGGCCAGATAGTGTTTTGTGGTTCTTTAAGCATATTTCCTTAGTTAATACTATAATCCTACTAGATAGTAAACAGAAAATATTCTCCTAAGGTATGACTGACAGTTGTTTATAGTCTCAGAAGTATTTATTTAGAAAGGTTTTTAATTCCATTTTCTAATGGCCAGTATTAGTAAGGGTGGAAAGGGACCAACACTAGACCCTTGGGTTAATTTTCCCTTTGTCCTTGGTAGAAATTGCCCAGTGTTTTTCTGCAGAATGATCAGGATTGTCTGTTGTTAAGAATGTGATTACCGCAGACTGCCTTCTTGTCAAGTTGTAGCCCAGGCAAACGTATATATTCAAATAATACCAATAATTCCCCAGAATATAGAGTATGACCAGTTACGTATTCATACATCCCTGTCAGAATTGTTTAGGCATCTCCATCAGTCATACTGGCCAATGAAAAGTGATCTCAATTCTCAGTCCCAAGAAAACACCCACTGTGCTGAATGAGGGGGTCTCCTGGACATTTAGCCTATATAAATGGTAAGTAGATAACAGAAGTTTTGTTGCTCTGGTATTCTAATTCATTTTCTATTGTGGAGCAAAAACACATACAGATAGAGCATCCTAAATCTGAAATCAAGAATGCTTCAAAATCAGCACCAACATAATGTTTATTGGAGCATTTTGGATTTTCTGATTACAGGTGCTTGTCTTACAGATACAACACAAATATTCTAAAATCCAAAACACTTCCATTCCCGAGCATTTTGGTTAAGGGATACTCAACCTCTATAGACAACCACCCAGTCTTTTGGAAATGCTCAGGAAAGGCACACAAACTGGTTCTGGGGGAGAGGAAGCTTTGGAGAGGATGAGGCATATAAACTAAAATCTGAAGGACTAGCAGGAGTTAAACAAGCACATTATTAATTTGGGAAAGTTTAAGAAAAAGATCTGCTCAAATCGTGACACTTATCTTCAATAGCACCTAGTGTGTTTATTTTGAGGAACCAGACTAGCATGATACATTCATGAGAACAAATCTTTTACGGCAAGGTTCAAGTTCGGATCTTTGAAAAGTATAACCCCAGACTTATATGCATCTTAGTTGTATATTTGGCATTTTTAGGTTACAGTGTGAAGCCCTCTAATCTTACCCGGTTGGCACTGGTAATCTGTGATTACTTAAAGTTGGTTAAAATGGGGAATTATGAAAAGATTTTGAAGTCAGAATGGGTTTAATTTTGGCTCTGTGTCTTACAAGCTGCGTGAACTCTGACAAGTTATTCAGTTTTTCTGTGTAACTTCAGTTTCTTTAGCAATAAAAAAGGGTGTAATAGTCTGGTTCTTAACAGTTATTGTGTAGATTAAGTGAGAATAGGTATTAAATGTCTCTCTCATGCTTGTTATTGTTTTTCTTTGTCACCAACTCCCTGCGTAGTAGTAATTTATTCGTGTTATAAAATCAAACCCACTTGTGGTGTAGCTTATCTGTATAGGCAACTTTATGTGTCATTTGTGATTTCTAATAACAAGAGGAAGAAAATGATATGCCTGACTTGAGTGAGTCAAGACCTCCCAGTAGAAGTACCACTACTCTTTTCAAATGAAGCATCCACCAAACAAGTATACCTCTGGATCTAGGAGCATTAGTGAAATTAGGAGTTTTGTCATCGTGTGATTAGTTTGTATGGTAAAGAACAAACTCTAAAACATAATAACATGAAGGTTAAAAGGCACTTTCTGTGATTTGCCTTTATAAGAGATGTTGATTCTTACAAAATGTTTTTTTTCTAACAGGTTGTAAAATTAAAGCACTGAGAGCCAAGACAAACACGTATATCAAGACACCTGTCCGTGGTGAAGAGCCCATTTTTGTTGTCACTGGACGGAAAGAAGATGTTGCCATGGCCAAAAGAGAAATCCTGTCAGCTGCAGAGCACTTCTCCATGATCCGTGCATCTCGAAACAAAAATGGCCCTGCCCTGGGAGGATTGTCATGTAGTCCTAATCTGCCTGGTCAAACCACCGTCCAAGTCAGGGTTCCCTATCGTGTGGTAGGATTAGTGGTTGGACCCAAAGGAGCAACCATTAAAAGAATTCAGCAGCAGACCCACACATACATAGTAACACCAAGCAGAGATAAGGAGCCTGTTTTTGAAGTGACCGGTATGCCCGAAAATGTTGACCGAGCACGGGAAGAAATAGAAATGCATATTGCCATGCGTACAGGAAACTATATAGAGCTCAATGAAGAGAATGATTTCCACTACAATGGCACCGATGTAAGCTTTGAAGGTGGCACTCTTGGCTCTGCGTGGCTCTCCTCCAATCCAGTTCCTCCTAGCCGAGCAAGAATGATATCTAATTATCGAAATGATAGTTCCAGTTCTCTAGGAAGTGGTTCAACAGATTCCTACTTTGGAAGCAACAGGCTGGCTGACTTTAGTCCAACAAGCCCATTTAGTACAGGAAACTTTTGGTTTGGAGATACGCTACCATCTGTAGGCTCAGAAGATCTTGCAGTTGACTCTCCTGCCTTTGACTCTTTACCAACATCCGCTCAAACTATCTGGACTCCGTTTGAACCAGTTAACCCACTTTCTGGCTTTGGGAGTGATCCCTCTGGTAACATGAAGACTCAGCGCAGAGGAAGTCAGCCATCTACTCCTCGTCTGTCTCCTACATTTCCTGAGAGCATAGAACACCCACTTGCTCGGAGGGTTAGGAGCGACCCACCTAGTACAGGCAACCATGTTGGCCTTCCAATATACATCCCTGCTTTTTCTAATGGTACCAATAGTTACTCCTCTTCCAATGGTGGTTCCACCTCTAGCTCACCTCCAGAATCAAGACGAAAGCACGACTGTGTGATTTGCTTTGAGAATGAAGTTATTGCTGCCCTAGTTCCATGTGGCCACAACCTCTTCTGCATGGAATGTGCCAACAAGATCTGTGAAAAGAGAACGCCATCATGTCCAGTTTGCCAGACAGCTGTTACTCAGGCAATCCAAATTCACTCTTAACTATATATATATACATAAATACTATATCTCTATATGGACTCGTAAAGGCATGGGTATAATGGTACCCCCCAGTAAACTTCCTAATGAATTCTTATGACTGTTATCAGGCTTTATTGGGATTAGGCTAAAGTTGTTAGTAAACTTATAAAAGACTGCTATGGTAACACTAAACCTAAGTGGTCTCTTGTCTATTAGTTTGGTTTGAATTATTAATATTGTTCTGTAGACCCAGAGACATAGCTTATCTAAGAATTGATAAAGCTGAAGTTCAACTTGGGTGAGTGAAGATAATCATAGGTTATGTGAGCCTATGAGAAAGTGTATACGTCTAAGATTTCAAAACAGTGGGTCCCAAAGCCTAACCACATTACGAGTTTATGGAGGGTACTTGGCATTACAGATGATTCAGACACTTCCAGTGCTGCCTTCTTTACACTGCCAGTTTTGACAAAACAGGTTTGTTTGTTTTTTATTTTACAACAACTTATGCCTAATTCTGCAGGATTGCAAGTCACTTTTTAATGCATTGTGATTACTTATTGGTAATAATAGGGCTGATGGCAGTTTACTATATCACTGGTTATAATTTGGGACAAAACTGCTACATTGACCTTCATCTCGCCCAGAGTGCTCAAGGCTGGTGTGATCAGTGGATCAGGAATGCAATTGTGAATTCCTACCCATTGCCTCCCTTGGTGGATGTGGAAATGGCCACCTAGGTTTTCCCATATCAGGAAAGGCTTTGGGGTGGCACCTATATTGGCTAATAATTGAGGATGCGAACATTCCATTCATTAGTCTGATCAAGCTATTAATTAATTTTTAGACTATAGATCAAAATGTGAAACATTTTATGTTTAATCCATATTTGTCTTGCACATTATAAATATATTTTTATTTTTTAGTAATTTAGGGGAGGGGGGAGAAAGGGATGATAATGCCCTTGGCATAATTCACAAAAGCAGCTGTGACGACCTCCAATCAGTTTACTTCATTTCAAAACTATTTCCAATCACAAAGGAAAGATTTGTTTAAAATATGCTTGTACATTTCACCTGTGGATGTCTATAACTCATCCTCAGTATGTTCCCAAATCTGTGCTGGCATTGAAAGGACAAAACATTATACTGGTGGGTTTTTCTACTAATTATTTTTTGAAGCGTTATTTTCCCAACACAAAAGAGCTTTTTTTCTCGGTATACCGAAAATTGAAATCCTATGTGTATTCAATAGTAAATAGACAGATTTTATTTTTTATTTCCACTTGAAGAGTTACATTTCGTATAAAAGTTTACAAATAACGGTTTTTATTTTGATTTTTTCAGTATAAAAAATTGCC